AATAATGGAGGATTTGGGTTCTGAATCCAATTTTCCTCTCAGGGTCTTTTTCTTTTTTTCTTTTTTTCTTTTTTTCTTTTTCTTTTTTAATGTATCTTTTGATGTTATGAACCCTGAAATTACCTAAACCAATAGGTTCGGGCTCAGTTTCTGGTCACCACCTCAATCCTAATCCCCTTTCTAAATGTAAACTAATGGGAAATATTTAGTCTTAATTATGCATTTCTAAGACAAAAGCTTCATCTAAATCTTCTCCAAATACATTAGAGAATTCCCTGATGAACATAAATAATATTTTTCTTAGTTTAATATAAAATCTTAATCCTAACTAACGAAATTTATATAATTTATTCTCTTTTAATATCTTTTTCCTGAAAAGAAAATTAATTTTCATTTTAGAGGTCGATACGATTAATTATTAAACTCACAACAAAAACTGATAAAGAACTATTTTCAGTACATGCATGCACGTCATACTCCCGAACAAGATATTGTTCCGTTAGTGCATGAACTTTATTGTGATGACGGCATATTAGACGTGTCAGATTAGTGAAATCTTTGAACTAGATCGTCTTGCCTTAAAATTTTGATAATTTTTTATGGAGCGATACGTTGACTTCGGGACGTGTATTCATTTCTTTTGTAGAGAGAATAAATGATACGGAACAAAATTTAGTAATTATTGAAAAATATTTAATGATTATCGATACGTTATCTTTTACTCTCAGTCGATATTACAATATATGTTAAATTACATCTTCGGTCCCTAAAGTTTCAAAAATTGTAAATTTTAGTCGTTTAACTTTATACTTTTGTAATATCGTAAATCTATTGAATATAAAATTAAAACTTAGAAGTTTCGTTAAACCTAAAATTTAAATTGTGATATAATAAATCAATTAAATCTTATCGGTAGTTTATTAGATACAAAATTTTAAAATTTTAAAGTACGGGTATTCCTGAGTTAGATTGTGACGTTTTTTATACCCAACCTAATTGTTTAGGGTTAAATTTTTTTAATTCAAACAACTTATATTCAATAATAAACCCAACTCAATTATATTTTTATTTTTAATAAAAGAAAAAAAGTTACCAACTAAAACATCTCTTTATTTATTTTTAAATATTTAATTAAGTACCAACTATATTTTTAAAATTCATCTTCCAAATAATTTTAAAAAAAATCATTTTCAAGAGACAATAAATAAATAAATAATAGTTATAAAGTTAAATAAAAATAAAATAAATATATACATATATATTAAACATATGTATATTTTAATTCAATCTAACTTCTTTTTTTTAATCCAGAAATTAACGTAATATATAAAGTTTTTGTTTATTTAAATTTAATCCAACCTAAATAAATTCATACCCCAATCCATTTTTTGAACCCTCTTAATTCAAAAATCAAATAAATACAAAAAAAAAAAAAAAAAAAAAAAAAAAAAAAAAAAAAAAAAAAAAAAAAAAAAAAAAAAAAAAAAAAAAAAAAAAAAAAAAAAAAAAAAAAAAAAAAAAAAAAAAAAAAAA